CTGGCATTTTGACATTTTTCAGATTTTAGTCCAAAAAGATAAGGAATGAGCCTAATGTGTAATGTGGAGACCAAGGCGCTTCTATACACGGTGGTGTTCATGATCCAACTACACAAGCAGTGTTGCCAGAATATTTTTGTCCCCCATCCCCATATCGGGCCGCAGTTATCCCCAAAAAGTCCCCATTTTTCTTTTAAATCCCCTTTAGTAAGAAATAAAAAAAGCATGCATTCACATTTGTGTTAGTTCATTTTAATTCAGTTTTCATTTTAATACAGTTTTCATTTTAACACAGTCTTCATTTTATTACAGTTGTGAATACTTTTCTCTACACATTTTCACAAATTTATATATGCATATGTACGTATGTACATATATGTATGAGGGCATTTGGTTATACATACAACTATGCTCAGAGATTTAGCACCAAAATTCAAAGTTATATGTTTTTACAGCATATGTTTATTTATTTTTTTTTACTAATTTTCTTTTAAAATATAATTCAATCTTCAACAGAAACAGCATAAATAAAAGTTTAAAACCAAAAAGTAATCAAACTTTTTTAGTGTAATAAAGTACAAGTCTCAAATAGCTAAAGAATACCATTTATTTTTTAGAAATTCTTTCGTTAAGGTTGTTGCGAAAATTGTTTGTTCAGCCAATCAAAGCAGACATCTGCGCCGAATAATGCTTTCACGGCATTAGGAAAATCTTACAAACATATCGCGCAAAAGTATGTACTAATAAAATCTTTATTCGAGAAATTTTTATGGGCAGCCAGAAAAATATATGGTTTAATTTCAATATCAAAGTTTTTAACCAAACAAAAATCCCCATAAAATCCCCACATCCCCAAACGAAAAAATCTATCCCCAAAAGGGTTTCATAAATCCCCAAATAGGGGCAAAATCCCCACATCTGGCAACTCTGTACACAAGATCTGACAAGATGAAGCAAAAGAAAAAAGCAATTTCCTGGCTGACATTTGTAATTTCAGCGCCATGTTATTTTCTTTGAAAAGTAAACAAAGAATTAAGAAGCATTAAAAAAATGCAAGCAATTTTGTAGCACATGTTAGTGCTAACGAATTTATTATTTTTGTACGTTTTTTGCAACCAATCACCGCGCACTTCATTTTAATTACATTGGCACAAAAAAATTATTGAAAATAGCTTTAAAATCACTGAAATAAACTACCAACAAATAACACATAAAGAAAGAAGCAAAACAGAAATAGCAAACTTCAAAATTACGAACGCCACATAATTTTTTCTCGATTGCTATTACAAATGGCTGCTTCTCAACCGGTCAGATCTGTTCTAATTGGTTCATGGGTGGTGTTACTTGAACTGCTGATATTAGGGGTCTTTCCTTAAACTCGTAAAAGCCTCGCAAACCTCGCACAGCTCGTAAATTTGCGAGCCTCGTAAAAGAACTGTCAAGATTTGTACGCAGCTCTAGTTACGAGCCCCTCGTAAAATTCCGAGGCAAATTTGATGCACATACGACCTCGTAAACCTCAGTGTTGCCGAGGGCACACAATTTTTATACTAACAGGTCTATTCTGCGCTGGTAATAAAAAGTTTGTAACCCCTAAATAAAGTTCCTGTACATTTTTAAATCCTTTTCGCATTCTGTGTACTCTTGTAACCGGTAAATTTTTTTACCAGCTCATAAACTGGTAACAAATTATTGCCCCATGAAATATGCAATGTCAGGATTTGCACAATTCTTCATAGCTGAATTGCTGGATATTTTAACTGCATTACCAACGTACCTAGAATCGCGGTGACAAGAACTGGTAACATTTTTTGGTAATACAATTGGGGTGTTCACAGTTCGTTCCAAATAGTGTCTGAAAATGTAGACGTCTACATTTTAAGATGTTTTCTAACCGTAAAATCTGTGGTGTTGTTGTTTCCCATACAAAATTGGAAAACGACGCCGTCTACATTTTGTCACACTCAAAGGTATGTTTTTTACGCGTCTACATTTTGCAACCTCGCAGCAGGGTTGCATTATGGCAATACTAATCACATTTTTTTTATTTATTGGGCACGTTTTTTGTATTTGCATTTAATTTGAGCGCAATTTCTGATGAAAAGAAACAAATCAAGGAAAAGAAATAACAAATATTAGGAATTGGTAATTAAGTTAAATAATTACAATTTTTCAGAAACAAAATCGAAAGGCGATATATAAAAAATGCACGCAAAGAGGAAATGTCTGGCAACACCATCAAAGTTTTGAGACGATTTTGCGACGACTGCTAGAAAGGGGTGCTCACAGTTTGATGCTAAAGATGTCTCAAAATGTAGACGTCTACATTTTCAGACACAATTTGGAACGAACTGTGAACACCCCAAATTTTCCGGTTACAAAATCTTCGGTAACGTGCAGAATAGCATGATAAAAACATAGTAAGGTAGAACCGTTCTCTCAATTCGTCAGCCATGATTTTATTTTGAAGTTTACCAACATTTGAAAATTATATAAATTTGAGAGTAAAAAAAGGAATTGTTCAAAGTTGTTGTTGTTTGAGATTGAAAACGAGAATGTGTGTGTGAGTTTGTGTGTAAAATTTTAAAACTAAATTGCCTGCAAACGTCAAGAATTTGAAAAATTCCTCTCAGCGGTTCTACCTTCCTATTTTTTTATCATGCAGAATAATCCTGTAAAATGTATGATAAAATAATGAAAATAAATTTAAAAAATTATAAGGGAATTAATTGAATGAATTTCATTCACAAACTGTATTGATTAGGGTTGCTGGTAATTTTCGACATTTTTAATTGTATTTTAGCCAAGAGTGATAGAAACAAGATGGCGGGATGTTATGGAAAATACTACGAAACAAAAATTGTTTCACAAAATCCTGGTTGATCTGTCAAACAGACACTTTACGCACCTCTCTACAACTTTTCACAAAGGGGCCGTTCCCATAAAAGCCTCGTAAACTTACGAGTTTTAAACGGTTTAAGACATTGCGAGTTTCAGCAAATCCCCTAATTAAAAACTTGGTCAGTCAGCTGCAATTAACTTAATTTCAGAGACCATAACGATTATAAGAAATAAAATTAAATATTGTGCATTCAGTAAGTATTATTACTGAAGAATGGGAAAGTGGTTTCCGTCTCCAGAAACGAAATCGGTTTCTGCAAAGAACGTAAATCTATAAGTAGGGAGAACACGTTATAATTGCAGCGAGTGTTAACATCAGGAGCGTGCCTTCTCTTTTGCCCAAATACGTTCCTAGATTGGATGAAAAGAGAAGGCACGCTCCTGATGTTCACACTAGCTACAATTATAACGTATCCTGTTATAGATTTACGTTCTTTGGTTTCTGCAATCAATAATGTTTTCAGCCCGCCAACCATAACATTGGCTCCATCAGTGGCCAAACCAGTTAGGTTTCTTATCTTTAAAGGGAGGATTGGCAAATGTTTAAAGGTACAATGGCAAATATTTATAAGCAAAGTGATGTTTGAAATATATATGCATTGGCGCATATTCATAGTCATATTTAGTTCAAAACTAAGTCGAAACTATCCTAAGTTACAACTAAAGCGCTACCAAAGAACGTAAATCTATAAGAGGAGACAACACGTTATAATTGTAGCGAGTGTGGACATTAGAAGCGTGCCTTCTCTTTTCATCCAATCATAAAACGTATTTGAGCAAAAGAGAAAGCACGCTCCTGATGTTTCCACTCGTTACAATTATAACGTGTTGTGTCTTCTTATAGATTCACGTTCTTTGGGGCCATGCTTTGGGGCTACATATGTATGCGAGCCTACAATCGATAGTTTCTTTCCGATATGGTCAGCCATGTACCAAAAAGACAAGATCACGCGGGCAGGAGACTAGCCCGTTAGTATCGCATTTAGGAAAAAAGTTGAACGATTTTGACATTAGCCGTTTGTTTACATTTCTTCGTTGTTTACATTTTGGTGGTGGCTTTTTACTGCAATTTTCTTAATTTTCGCTTGTGTCAACGTGTGTACACATAAGATAAAGGATAATTTAACAGAACGACATGATTTATAGAAGAATTTGCATAATAAAAATGATTTTTCTTGCGTTCAACAATTTCGCGGTTTTCTCCGTTCTCTTCGTTGTTTACTTCTTACAACAAAGATGGCGTCGAGATTTCGGCAGCTAGAAAATAACTTTTTTCGTTCTTTCCTTCCCGCGTGATCTGCGTCTTTCGTTCATGATGGTCAGCCGTTTTTGCAGGGTAGGTGTTCCAACACTGCCGCAAACTCCAACCGATTAAAGATCGATAGCACACACATTTGACAGCCGGTTCGCAGGCCTACCAACGTGACGCTGACGTTTTTCAGTACTTCAATGGCAGCCATTGAATTTTCTTTTCGCGTCTACTTTGCAAAAAAGTTTTCGTGTGTGTGCTCTGAAAAAGTGAAAAATTCACCAATTTGAACCATAAAAAGTAAAGAAAATTATGTGCGTGCGCACACCGTGAATGATGCTTCACAAATGAGTGTATAGACTTGTGGAAAGTTTATTTTTTTTCCGTAAAACACGGTAGAAAAATCCGTACGCAACCTCAAAAGATTTTGTATTGGTCGTATCTCTCACACCAATTAAAAAGAACTAGGTGTTAATCGGACTTTTCTGTGTCTATTCATAATCAACTACCTTAAAAGGGTGAATATGACTTCACCCTCGCCGGCGAACAGCCCTATGCCGCCGCCTCAGGCGCCGCCTGCTCAAAGTCCCTCGCCATCGCCACACAGCCCATATCCGCATCAACAAATGACTCAAGGGCCACAAGGTCCACAGGGACCTTCCGGGGCAGGACCGCCTGGACCGCCCCATGGCCCACCGCAGCAATCGCATATGCAAGCACCACCGCCACATAGTCAACATGGTCCATTACCGCCGGGTGGTCATCATGGTGCACCACCACCACCCGGGCATCCTGGCGGACCATATTCTCATCCAATGCAACATGCTCCACCACATGGCTCTCCACATGGACCTCCGCAACACCAACAACACGGTGCAATGCCGCCAGGACAGCATGGTGTAGGCCAGCATGGCCCACCACCTCATGGCCAACAGCCACCCGGTCAGCATGGCCCTCCACCACCGGGTAGTGGAGGTGCTCCAGGAAATGGACCACCAATGTCTCATGCACCACCACCACACGGCGTACCACCGCCTCACGGACCACCGGGACCGCAGCAGCAACCGGGTGTACAAGGGGCACCGCCGCAGCATATGAATGGGCCACCAGTACAAGGACCGCCTGGACAACCGGGTCCACCCCCACAAGGACATCACATGCCACCGCATCATCAAGGCATGGGTTCGTAATTTGATATATTAATAATTATTTTCCAAATATAATGTAAACATATTCCTGTAGGTCCACATATGGGTATGCAAATGCCGCCACAAGGACCCAACATGCCACCAATGGGCTACCAAACTCATGGAATGCCGCCAAACGTAAGTTTTAAAATATTTTATTTTATTAAAATTGCAATACTTTGAAGCTAATGCCGATTTCTTTTCTACCGAAAAATGCAACCTTCTTGCGCTCTAGGCACAAACACTAAAGAGACGTCGATGAGAAGGCAAAATTTTTTGTAGAAACGAAATCGGTATAAATTAAAATTTATAAATAATTATTTAAACGTGAAATGTGTCAAAGCATCGGCCTCCTCAATCAAACCGACCATAACCTTTGCCAACTCTGGTGTAGCTGCAGCTATCAAGTTAGGCTTCATTATGTGAAATTCACCACCTTTAGTGTGATAGAGATTACCGCCGGCTTCACGTAATATAACTGCACCACCTGCTATATCCCAAGGTTGTAGATCTTCCACATGATAACAATCAAAGCTACCGCGTGCGACGTAGCAGAGCGTCAGTGCTGCGCTGCCAATGCAACGAGAACTGTAAACAAAAAAAAATTAATTAGGCATTTTGTTAGCGTATTAATTAGACTTTGTGCATACCCCAAACTATTAGCAGCAAGTTTCGAAAGACGTTTAACGTTTTTATCACGTACTAAAGGTGCGTGGACGAGCGAAATTTCATAAGCTAAAACGGCATGGTTCATCTGAAATGATTTTGAATCTATTAGAACTTTTACACCTTAAACATTATGCCGTTAATTATTTTATTTTACGAATACGTAGAAATAATGAAAAATGTTTACACTTTGTTCTGTGGTAAATTTGAAGTAAATGTATTTTGAATTTATGATACCTAAAAATGATAAAAAAAAACTTTTCTCGCTCCCCAGTAAAATGTATAATGGTATAATGGTATCTGTCAAGATATCTGAGCAAGGAGGCTTAGTAGATCTGGTCGCAGTGCACACCTCAGTTAATATGTATCTATGTACCAAGGTACATTGAACAGGTAGTATCAGTAGAGCAGCTGATTTGATTTATTTTCAAATTATTTGGTCTCGAAAATGTCAAATATTTTTAATTTTTTCTCACGAAAATTATAAGTTGTTAAAATCCATTTGCTTGTGAAACCTTTTTCCATACAAAACAAGCGATTGAATAGCAGCTTTTGGAACGTTCGCCCAACTCGGCAGCACGACCGCTGATTACTGGGCCTTGCAAAGGATGGATCAATGCTTCGAGAAGCAAACAAATTTACTAGGAAAGAAAGTTGNACATATCTAAATGAAAGTAGATTACATTTTTTTTACTATACATTTAAGTTATCATTGGCTTTTGTTGAAGCAGAAATAACTCACTAAAATTTTTAAAACAGTTTTTCTCAATTTTTTTTTTTTGTATGTTACGTTACCTTTAGTACATACCCTTTGAAATATTTCTTCTTTAAGTGTGTATGAACTAAAATTGTGGAGTTTATGAACTAAAGGTGGGCAGGGTAGTATACAATAATTACTCGCAGATTATCCAACTTGATGAAATCAACTGTTTAAAAAGTAAATATTTGCAGTATTAATCGTCCTCGCAGCAAAATATGATCTTATCTCCCATTGTAGTAATCTCTCTACGTAAATTTGCCCAGCATTCGTAGTAAAAAAGTTGTAAAACCATTTATAAATTCAACGACTTGGATAAAATACTGCGCGAGCAATGAAAAAAAAAAATTCTTAAGTTCTTAATTCTTTAGTTTGACATTAGTCTTTTTTTCGCACCTTTTTGTATGGGATTGTAAAAAATGTCACTTCTTCCCTGTTAACAGCCTATAAATCCTACAAATTTCGGGAGATAAATGTGTGTGTCAATCCTAGCCCTTGAATTAAGGCTTTAATGTGAAGTTTTCTTATATATGGTTATATTGGTGACCCAACATATCCTGTAGTTTAGGAGAGGACTGAGGTGGTGGCCTTTGACTGGCAATTTTGAACTGATGAGTTAAGGCAGAGTCGACCTAGTGCTGTGGTTCTAGTTTTAGTCATTGTCAGAATAACCTAAAAAATCCCCAAAAGTTTTGGATAATTTTGCTCTTGTTGTTTTTGTTGTAACAGCATATAAATTCCCCCAAGACTTTTTGTTCTTGGCCAGATATTGATCTGGGTCGTTCCCTACTGTTGTGGGTCTTGTGATAGTCCTTGGCTACATATCTGGGTCATTCGAGAACGTAGGTCCTACTATAACAAGAGCGAAATAGCTACAGGGAGTTGTTGTTGTTCTGGTCAATGAACGAAATGACTTAAGAAAAACTTAGCTTATTTTACCCTACCTAATTTTCTTTACGACTTGTTATTGTTTTGGAAGTGTTGAAGGGTGAAAGTTTTTTGCTGGTAATGTATACAAAAACATAGTTTAACTGTTCTATAGAGCCTGTCAGACGTGGCAATATTTCCGTCTTTCGCACGCAATTCGCTGTCAAATTGAGAAAGAGAAATTTTATTTCGATGTGTGAACAGCCAGAAAGATCTTTCTGTCACCTTTCGGAAATCAGTTTCAGAAATAAAAGTTGCAAGGTGGGACTGCAACAGCAAGAGCGAAAATCGATTTCGGAAATATATTTCAACTTGCTCGTGCTGCACTAGCAATTTTCATTTCTTCTGCAAGTGCTGTCAAACTAATCGAGTGTTGCCGTGTGGCCCTGATCGTGAATTTGTGTAAAATGATAAAAAAATATTGTTGCATTAAATATCAAAAATGCTTGAAATATATTATTTTGCTTAATATACTTAATCGTAAAATTTTGGTTTTCACGGCAAATATGTTAATTATAACCTATATTTTATCGCTTTTACAAGAGGAATAGCAAACAAACGACAACCCCACCGCCCATGGTTGCATTTTAGTATCGAGAAAGATTGCCAGAAACTCATTCGCTGTGTGAACAGCCAAAAGCGATTTCAGAAATTTTTCCTGCAATTCGCCGTTCGGAAATAAAAACCTCTTTCGAAAGACACTTTCCATGCAAGGTGTGACTGCTAATGCAACTGATTTCTCAATTTGACAGCCTTTCCGAAATTTATTGCATCGAAATATATTGCCACGTCTGACACGCTCTTATTATTCTACCTATTCGATTGTTGGTGTAAAATATATGATTGGTGTTTTTTCTCTTACCGATATTTGCTGATTGTTTTCGTTTTGTGAAATGCGCTACCAATACACTCTAAATGATAACAACCGATATATTTTTGATTACTATTCCTAAAACTGATCAGCTGGATTTTCGAACATATGGGACTGTCCCTTTCATACATAAGTATGTACATACATATATACAGTTGCTATGTGCTCAAATATAAAATACTAACTTTGGTACAATTCTTAACACGAATACGTTGTCCATTCATATAAGCGCCATGTCCCTTCCACGCTGAGTACATTTCATTTGCAATCGGATTATACACAATACCCACTACCAATTCCTTATTTACAGCCAAACCGACCGATATACACCAATATGGTATGCGATGTATAAAATTTGTTGTACCATCTATTGGATCAATAATCCATGTGGGCGCATCAGTCAACTCTGGCATTTTACCACTTTCGGCTACAGCTTCCTCACCAATAAATTTCGATTCTGGAAAAGCTTTGCTTAAACCCTCAACGAGTATATCTTCAATATCTTTGTCATATTTAGTGACTAAATCAAAAAATGCTGCTTTTTCTTTAAAATCCGCATTAGCATTGCTATAACCTTCACGTACTAGTGGACCACATTTCATTACCAATTCTAAAGCTACATTATAATAGTTACGTATACTCGTATCATCACTTGTATTTGGCATTTTTGTTGTTATTGTGCGTTTACGGCGAGCAAATGGGGTCAGTGGATAGACAAAGTGAGTTTGGAAGTAACGTCTGAGACTTCCTGCCGGCGGATGGAAGGCGTTGGTGGTGTTGCTGGTGGTGACTGCAGTGTGTTTTGTTATTCCACTATTCTCGCTTTGCTTAAAATTTGTTATGCTTTTATTTATTGTTACTGTGATTACTATTCCAGCTGTGCTTTTACTGAGTACGTTCTTATTACAAAGATGAATCGCCAACCACTGATTCAGCATTTTTATATAAATTGCGGTTGCTCGTCGTAAAATTTGAGATGAGTGTAATGCAGAGTGTGAGCGTGTGAGAAGAAAATAAGAAAAACTAAAGCTCTTAGAACTCTTTTGTTCGCAAACAAAATTTTGTGAACTGGCGATTTTTATTCTGAGTTTGAATGTGTATGCGATTTTTTTTATCACGCTCTCTTTGAATGACTGCATGTAAAAAGATAAACATCTAGCTAAAATATACACATGTATGTATGTGTGAATGCATTATTTTTGCTTTTAAAACTGCTCAGCGGCATTTAAAAAAAATCAAAAAATTCGCCCATATTTGATACTCTTACTTTGCAATATGTCTTTATTTTATATATTTACTTAATTTTTAAGGCGCATAATAGGTACCTACTTGTTAATAATTGGCTTGTCGACGTCCCAAAAAGCACCTACGATGAATTGTGTGTGGAATATTTTTTGTAGACACCAGTTTGCTAATAAAAAAATTTTTGTTTTTGTGAGAGTGTCTACCCTCTCTTCATATGTACATTAGGGCGGTTCATTTTTTATTTTTTTTTTTACTATGCATCTATAGCCTAAGAGGACTCTACGTGTAATTCTAAGCAAATTTGCCGAAGAAACCGTGTTTCTGAAATAAATTTGGAGTTTGGCAATTTGGGGAAACAGGTTTCGAAAAAAAAGTGAAAATGTTCACTGTTGCGCCCTTTGGTTGAAGTCTTAAAATTTAAGCTATTATTTACGGCACTACAGAAAAATGCTTAGAAACCCATTTTCGGAATTTGGCATTCTTCAAATTTATTTTAGACCCATGGTCTCGTCGACAAAGTTTCTTAGAACTACATGTAGCGGCCTTCGATGCTAACGCGCACAGTCGGAATAAATCTCCCATACAAATTAATTCGCCCTAATGTATGTACCCTAGGGTGACCCTTAAACCCCATTTTACACCAAATTTCCTAAGCCTCAACCCCTTCGTCGA